AAAAAAAAAAAAAAAAAAAAGTGAAGACTGGTCCAGCTCTATTTACCTTGCCATTAAATTTGGCTACGAAGTCAAAGTGTTTCTTCAGGTCAGTGGCCAAAATTGCTTCAATGACAAGGAAACGGAAATGCTTAAATTCCACATGGTCAAGGTTAACTAAGAAGTTATACTCTGGCCGGGACATGAAAAGATTCCATGCAGCAGCTGCGTGATGATTCTCCAAAACTGAACGATCGTTATATAGCACCGCCTACGAAAATAAGAGAGTTAAGAGTTTAACTTTTTAAGAAAAAAAATCATAAAAATCATGAGCATATGCAATGCTTTTGAAATTGCTTTTTATTCATACAACAAAGAAATGTAATCATATGACTCCTGCTTATTAAGAATCACTTATTACTGTACAATGGGTATTATTTTTCTTGATTAAATTTACCTTTTTTGTAAAATAAATTCATTTCCTTGTAAACTTAGTCCAAACTCTTGTGAGGGACACTAGCCTATCTTAATAGATTTTTTTAAAAGATTTTTTCTTTAGATTTCTTTGTAGGATACAGGAATTTAAACATAAAAAATATATACAAATAGAAAAGAAAGAGGGGGGAGGAAGAAAAAAATTACATTTACATATATATGTAAATATATATACACACATATATAAAATATGTAATTATACCAATGCTACAATACCTCAAGAGGTAACTAGGTTACTTTCTATATTTGGCATAAGTATTACCTCTTCTTAAACACATATAGCTATTAAAGATGAACGGAATCCCCCAAATGCTCATGATTTAAAACATTCTTATTCCACTCCACAGGAAATATCACCTTTTAACTAGTATTTGAAGACATAAAATGACATTTACTTGTTTGAAATTCTCTAATAATGCAGAGAGAAGTTTTATTAGAGAATTTTTTTACAAAGGGAAGCTGCCTACAAAATGCCTGAACACTAGTGTGCAAGATAGCCTATGGAGAAATAAAAAGACAGGACACAAAGAAAACACTAAGCACTGAATATTAATATAGAGGTATATAAAAATGTAGATGTGTAAAAAAATCTGAACGGTAAATTATCCTGGCCAGTGGATTTTTGCCTATATTTAGAAAAAACAATTTTGATGTATGAAAGACAAGTGGAAAGAAGGTAGACAGTCAAGAAAAAAATTACCAGATAATTTTTATTGTATATAGATTCAAGAAAAACTATAGAACAGTCCATAAGATCAGCTACAGAAATGGAAAGCAGTGGAATAGAACATAAGAGGCAAAGAAGAAAACAGAAAAGTCAATATCGAATGAAACTGGCCTCTAGATCTTGTAGAAGAACAGAGGATCTCAGAATGTTTAGTAACTTGGGTTCAGCTAATTAAATACATTAGGGGCTAAATTTGATTGTATAAATGGGTATGTCTAGATACTCAGTGATGAATTTTTTACTTAGATAGAATTACACACCAAGATGAACTTTAAATTTATTCACTGTTTTTGGAATCTATGTTTAGGCAAAAAAAAAAAAAAAAAATTCCTCCAATGAAATAAATTGATGTCAAAATCCTACCAACCTATAGATATGTCATAAGAATCATAATTGTTATAATGAATATATTTCAAAGGAATGGTATTTATATACAAAGAAACCTTACATTCTTAAAAGTCCAAGAAATACTTGGTTCTCTAATCTTTTCAGAAAGGGGCTTTTGTATAGGTTGCCTTTTGTTTGTTGAAGAGGTCCATTAACATGAATTCAAGTAGGTTTTCTTCCTAGGAAGAAAACTGAGAAATGATTCCCACGGATAATAAAGTTGTATACCTGCTATTAGAATCTTGGAAGAATCCATGGTTTCTTTTCAGAATCAGCATGGTCTCTGAGAATTTTAACATGAGACTATATATAGTTTGGCTTATATTAACTTGGGGCCTATTATAAATCACACTCAACTTCACTTTCTTGAGAAATCTTTAAATTAGTTCTCCTAACCAAAATCTAAAGATTTACCTGAGGAGCACTAGTTGCAACCAGGAAAGCATTAGTCCTTCCTGGGTGATCATAATCGTGCATGGCTGCAGCCACATACAGAGCCATCAACTCTAAGGCAGGGATATTCCCAGACAGACATCCGTATTTATCATCTGTCACATTATACGTCTTTGAGAATACATATCCCATATGTCCATGTGTAAATCCACTGTCAGAATCTGAGAAGAGAAAACGAGAGTCAAAGAAATTTTTTTAAAAGTATTAAACTGACATGATTTGTCTTGACTTTCTTTTTTTTGAAAAAAACACCCTTGGTCCCAACTCCCACATAAGGCAGTGCAGATTCACTTTGTACATACCTGAATCACTGGTTGAACCATGATCACTAATCACAGTTGAAAGGCCTGGAATAGGCTGTGTAGTAAGATACCAAACAGCATGTAAAACATCAGTGGCGTGGATTCTGTTATGATCTGTAACCAGTGAATAGGAACAGTCATCAATTTACGAACTTTGGGGTCCAAGAACTAAGAGTGCCATCTACTGGACAAACAGTTTCGTTCTAACATTTTACTATTTCCATGAAAGTCGGCCAAACTTTCTAGGACAAATATTCTTTGATTACTCTTCCATAACTCTATAACATCCATAGTAACGAGAAAAAAAAAACAACCCTACTTGTAACATTTATTATGCGTGTAGGTATCTGAGGTAGAAAAATCTGTGTCAATAGTCGACTAGAAACTACATATACAGGAAACACACTGTGTGAAACAGTGTAATGTTTACTCTGGTACTTATTTTCATGCTCCTGCATAACACTATGCAGAGAACAAGAATAAATGTAATAGCTATGACATACTTCAACTAAATCAGACAGAATATTTCATCTCTGATAAATGGTACTCAAAAATAATCTGGGAATAGAACATAATACCATTTCTCTGTATCAATCTTAAAGCACTGCAGTAAAATATCTTTTATATGTAGATTTCATCCACAAGCAAAATTCAAAGCCACAATCAATTACATTCTCTGATCTAGACAATCTAATTTCAGAATAAAGTTCTAAGAAATACCTAAAAAGAAAAAGAAAAGCCTCTTTGTATAGTAATGTAGGAAGCTAAGCCATTTAGAAGAGTTAAAACCTACGGGAAAACCAGATTCACTAGTCATAATGTCATCAAGGGAAGGGGGTCATACTCCAAATGTGCAGTTCAACTTCTTTCAAACCATAACCACATGCCCAGTGTGCTCTTGGCTCACCTTCCTTTTCTGTGCAACTCTTCCAAGTTTTCTGTTTGTTTATCAGACCCCTTATAATACTTCACTGATTAGCATGCTTTATTCTAAATATACTAACTTTACATATTGTATTTCTGCAAAACAACCATGATACTGTTTCCTTCTCTAGTATAATAGATTACATTTCTGCATAATACTTAACATAAGGAGAAGAGAGAAACAGGAGAGAATTAGAATGACAAGGAGAATATGAGAGAAACACCTATTCCCCAGTCAGAGAAGAAAGAAGAAACCTATGGTCAATGTGGCAATTGTAGCACCCGAGTAGGTGTTAAATTTCTGGCAGCCATTAGGAATCAGTCTTTAAGTGACAATATGCAGCTAAATCTTAGGTAAACACCCTAGAAATTCAGTGGAGAGGCCTGGATGTGGGTTTGAAAAGATCTCATCAGAAGAGCTTAAAGAAACTCAACTCCAGCCGGGCACAGTGGCTCATGCCTATAATTCCAGTACTTTGGGAGGCCGAGGTAGGTGAATCATTTGAAGTGAGGAGTTCAAGTTCAGCCTGGCCAACATGGTGAAACCCCGTCTCTACTAAAAATACAAAAATTAGCCGAGCATGGTGGCAGGCACCTGTAATCCCAGCTACTCAGGAGGCTGAGGCAGGAGAATTGC